GCCTAATGTGGTGTACCCTGCTGGGCACAGGGCCTAATGTGGTGTACCCGGTGAGGCACAGGGCCTTGCCTAATGTGGTGTACCCGATGAGGCACAGGGCCTTGCCTAATGTGGTGTACCCAGTGAGGCACCATTGCAGAGAGCAAATTCTCCCAGGTGAGCAGCTGACAGTCAGAGACAGCAGTGGGCTAGGCACAGAGGCCGTGCCCACTTCCCCTCTCAGCGCTGGGATCCTATACACCTTGGGCCTGCGCATGCAGCCATAGTCTCTGTGATTTCCCCTGTACAACCTGGCAGTTTTCTACTGAGAAAAATGGCTGTGATTTATTAGATGTGAAACACTGCCGAGCACTGAGCCAGACATTCACATGTGTCTCTTAACCTCACCCCGACATGGGTGCTCTTTCCATGACTTTTTGTTGTTGTTGTTGTTTCAAGACAGGGTTTCTCTATGTAGCCTTGGCTGACCTGGACTCGCTTTGAGGCCCAGGCTGGCCTCGAACTCACAGAAATCTGCCTGCCTCTGTCTGCTGCCGAGTGTGGGGATTACAGGCGTGCGCCACCAGGCTTTTTCTGACTCTATGAATGAAGAATAAGGTGTGAAGAGGTGTGTGATCAAAAGGTGAACACACTGGCCAAGGACAGAAACTCAGTCTGGTGGTGTCTAGCACCTAATTCTCTCCCACAACCGACAGCTGCTGACAAACCCAAAGCTGACAACACCCCAAGAAGACAGGAACAGAATGTGGCTTTGTTCTTCTGTCTAAAAAGATCCTGTCACATGAACAGCAGAGGCGAGCAGACCGGTCTGCTTCAGGGAGAGCTGGCATTCCTCAGACCCAGTGAAAAATCACGAAGCACTGACAACACCCAGTGCTTGGCTCCCCTACCCCACAGCAGCCAGAAGGAACTGCTCTCAACTAATCTACTGTGTCAGAACTTCCGGCAGAAGCCATCAGAGAGGAAGGTCTTGGAGGAAAGCAGCCTGGACTCCAAGGCCAAGCTCCTCATGCCAAAGTAGACAGTAACGACACGGTCGAGCCTCAGCCAGAACCCTCCAAGGCACTGATGCTGGAGAGGCCATGCACAGAGCATCCCTGTGTGAGTTAACATCCTCAGGAAGATGGAGAGTGGGCAGGAGCTCCAGAGCACAGCTGTGGTAACAACGGGCCAGAGAAGAGTGGCCCAGCCCCACCTGGATCCTCCGAAGAAGGATCCAGACGAAGAAGGTGAGGATGCTGTGGGGAGGGGCAGTCAGCCTGCCAGTCAGGGCAGAGACAAGACTCGGGGGCGGAAAGAAAAGAAACCAGGAACCTCTTGTCAGCAAGATGGCATGGAACATAAGACGCATCAAAGGCTAACAGCTGAGCCTGTCTACAAGATGACTCAGTGAGTGCAAACGCCTACAAGACTGGAGCCTGGAGTCTGCTCCTCCGGTGCCCACATGGCGGTAGAGAACCGACTCCTACGCGCCTAAGGCAGCACATGGGTGCCCACACATTTCAATGGGTGTTAAAGCAGGTGTGCTGGGCAGGCTGGCTGCCACGGCGAGCAGTCGCGGAGCACAGCCTCCTGACAGACCCCGGGCTGCCTGGCTCTGGGACCAGTGCAGAGCCCTCTGCACATCCCCACTGCACCACAGGCTAACAAATGCCAGCACGCTATACCCGGCCTCAATAGAATAAGAAATTTCTTACCCTTTTGATTTTTAAAAAGACACTAAAGCTTTTGCATGCAGAATATGTAACTCTCATCCAACCCGTCTGTCTGTCTGAGGCTCTGTCTTTCTCTCTCTCCCTTTCCTACTCTCAGAAACAAGAGGAAAAGATAGCAGAAAACAGGTGAAGTTTTTACAATGCTTGACCAAATATGCAAATACCCAGTAAGCCCATAAAAACTGTTTGCTCTCTTAAACTATGAGAAAAACAGAAGCACAGTGTGAAGCCTTTGGAAAGGCTGACGCTGGTGACTGGTGAGGACATTGCGTGCTCGCCCACTGCTGGTGAATGAGAAGCATGCAGAGACGAGGGGTGGTGAGTGGCCATTTTTCAGGAAGCTAAAACACGCTACTGTAAGACACAGCCATCTCACCCCAGGGCTTCCTCAGAAATAAACTGGACACAATGTTTTCAGTCCTTGCTGCTTGAAAGGTAAAAACTGAAATCACCTTAATATCGACGGGCTATGAAGAAGCAACCTTTGCTAACTCTACACAGGACGCAGCCCTGACAGAAAACGGAACACGGATGCACACAGCACAGCTCTCAAAGTCATGCTGGGGAAGCCAGACCAGAAGATACAGTAGGCTGAACTGTGTGTGCTTACTAGCATAAAGCAGGCTGCACATCCCATCCAGAACAGCCACAAGTGGGAGAGTCTGCTGACATCACACACCAGCACATGCGGCCGCCTAGGAGCTGAGGTGGAGGGACGCACTGCAAGGGCACAGTAGAGCGGGCTAAGGAGCGCTCAGGACAAAGACTGCAGCAATGCCTTCACCAGCTCACCCACAGGCGGCCAGGAGTGGTGGTGCTCCCCTCCGCGCCCAGCACTCAGGAAACAAAGGCAGAAGGATCAGGAGTTCCACAGAACTTGCCACACAGCAAGACTGTCTCAAAAATCTAAGGGCTGGCAGGAGGTGGTGGTGCACGCCTTTAATCTCAGCACTTGGGAGGCAGAGGACAGGCAGATCTCCGTGAGCTCAGGGCCAGCCAGCCAGGCTACACAAAGAGATATGTCTCAAAACAACAAACAGGGCTATGTGTGGCTGCTGATAGAGCAGTCACTGAGCATGCACAAAGCCCTGAGGTCAAGTCCGAAATAGCAAAAAGGAAGATCCTAAAGTCACACATCTCAAGCATGCAATTTTCCTGAAGGTAAATTACACGTTTATAGAAAACAAAACAAAACACCTTAAACATAATGTTTCCCATGGCAAGAATCCTCATATGCAAAAAAAAAAAAAAAAAAAAAACAGGAAATAACAACTAGAGAAACAACATTTGAACCTTCTATCACAGACAGCTGACTTCCTCCCTACCAAGAAATTAAAACCAACCCTCCAGCACTCCGACAAAGCCAGGCCACCCTGCTGCGAGGCTGGGCGCCTATTCAGCCAGAACCACAAAGACCACTTTGACCTGTTAGGCTGCCCGGGACCAAAAAAGCCAAAAACACCATTCTTGTAAACTAAAACTGCTACTCCTTATAAAATGTGACTATAAACAGGTGATCAACTCTGTGGCATAACAGCCAAACTATAAAAGCAAAGTTTGTACAAAATTACCAGATATAAGGTCATTCATCAGTGTTGTCTATGAGATTAAACAAAACCTAAAACCCACCACTAAGTAGCCATCAGCAGGTGTACCTGAATAAATAGGGTATACTTTACAGAATACTAGGATGAGAAAGGAAGGAAGAAAGAAAAAAGAAAAAACAAAGAAAAGGATCTTATTATACACTTACTTTATTGTGGCCAACTTTTTGGACAGTGTTCCTTCTGCTGGCATCTTTTAAGAAAAAAAAAAATTAAGCATTTAAATCTGAGGTGTTTTTTCAACTTGGTTAACGGTTTCACTCTTTTCCCCTTTTCAGTGCTGGGGGCTGGTACCAGGGCTCTGTGCGCTGACTTGTGGTCTCTCTGCTACACCCCTAGCCATGTAAGTGGCATTTCAGTGGAAGCCAGAGTGTTCCAACCACGTGTACCTCAGGTAACTCAAAACACTTCAGGAAGATTAGGAAAGAAACAGCTCCGCTAACACGTGTGAAAAAGACTGAGACCAGGAGTGGTGGTCCCTTCCTGTACCCTACAGTCCCAGCACCTGAGAGAGGAGGAAGGTAAAGCCACCCTCAGCTACAAGTTAGTTTGAGTTCAAGGCTACAGGGAGCCCTAATTCAAAACGAAAAGGGGAAGAGTATGAGGCTTAGGATACAAGAGATTCCAGAGGGAACCACACTCAACAGCCTCTCTCAAACAGTGCAGGCACAAGTGCTCAGACTACAGCATGATCCCAAGCCAATGAAGAGTAAAGAAAAGTATGCTGAAGGCAGTTTTATAAAGTAAATGGGGGGACAACATTTATAAATTAACCCTTTCTATTTGTCCCGTGTAACTTTAAATGTCTAAACTGGTAATGTCTAACCTGGTTTCCTTGGCATCTCAGAGATTGTATATTCCCAATGGGCCCTAAAATTAGTGGGGCTGGGTTGAAGAGATGGCTCACAGGTGAAGAGCACTTCCAGAGGTCCCGAATTCAATCCCCAGCTCCCACATAGTAGCTCACAACCATCTATAGTGAGAGCTGGTGCCCTCTTCTGGTGTGCAGGCACACATGCAGACAGAATCCTTACATATAATAAATGAACAAATCTTTAAAGAAAAATAGCAATGCTTGCTTTTTTTTTTTTTTTTTTTTTTTTTTTTTTTTTTTTG